AATAGCAATAGCAATAGCAATAGCAGTTAGACTTATATACAGCTTCATAGGGCTTTCAGTCCTCTCTAAGTGGTTTACAGAGTTAGCATATCTCCCCTACAGTCTGGGTCCTCATTTCACTCACCTCGGAAGGACGGAAGGCTGAGTCAACCCTGAGCCGGTGAGATTTGAACCGCCAAACTGCAAGTAACAGTCAGCTGAAGTGGCCTGCGGTGCTGCACTCTAACCACTGTGCCACCTCGGCTCCCAATTGTCTCCTGCAAACTCCACTTCTCTTTTGCTCCTCTTTATTCCCTCTTGGAGGGGCCATTCAGCATACACCTGTGCCTTTACACCCAAGTCAGCCCTTGTTCCATAGCTGTTCCCTTCTTCTGGCAGGTCTGCGCATGCACACATCGGGAACAGGCTCCAGCTGTTCTTCTGCCCAACTGATATCCAACTCCGAAGGCAGCTGATAACTGTCGGACAGTCCGGTCTCCATCTCTGCCCCCGACACAGAGCCCGCATCAGAGCCTTCCCCAGATTCCAAGACTGGCCCATGTTCCTCCCCAACCTCCTCACTGTCTGGGTCTGCCAACAGCTGTGTTAGCCACTGCCGGGCCGCAACACATGGGGAATCTTAAGCTGAGTCTGATTTTTATGGGCACCAGCTATGGTTGCTGCTTCTGGATCATACCCCCTAAGTACCTCTGGAGGTGGACCATTTTAGGCCAGAATCAAGACCTGAAGTCCACCCAGTGATGGTTGGGAAGAATTACACTTGTTGCATCCAAGCCAAGATTGAATGACTGAGAAGATGCATGAGCACCAGCACCATTCATGGTTGGAGATATGGGCCACCCCAAGGTGAATTGGTTGCATTTTCCCAAGCCAAGCCAGGCGACGTCGCTGGGAAATTGACCCTGGATTTTCAAGCACACCTATAAGAAGTCCTCAATTTGCAACCAAGTCACCCCGGCATGGAATAAGTGACTTACAACGGTCTTTGCACTTAAGACCGTCACAGTAAACCCATGGTCATGTGATCAAAATTCAGGGCCTTAACAACAGGCATGTAATTTACAGAGATTGCAGCATCCTGGGGCCTCGTGTTCATCGTTGGCAACCTTCTGACAAGCGAAGCCAAGCCAAAAAGGAAAGTTGGATTCATTTAACAACCCTATGGTTTACTTAAGAACAGCAGTGATTCCCTTAACAACTGGGGCAAAAGGTTTGCAAAATCGTACGTGATTCATTTAACAACTGCCTCAGCTTAACAATCCAAGTTCTGGTTCCAATGGTGCTCGTAAGTTGAGAGCTATCAATAATTCAGTGGTGGGATTCAATTTTTTTTACTACTGGTTCTGTGGGCATGGCTTAGTGGGTGTGGCGGGGCTTGGTGGGTGTGGTAGGGGAAGGATACTGCAAAATCTCCATTCCCTCCCTATCAGCTGGGACTCGGGAGGCAGAGAATAGATGGGGGCGTGGCCAGCCAGAAGTGGTATTTACCGGTTCTCCGAACTACTCAAAATTTCCGCTATCGGTTCTTCAGAACTGGTCAGAACCGGCTGAATCCCACCTCTGCTGTAATTGCATTCCACTTGAACAAGACGCTAATCCCAAAGCTGCATTATAACCCAGAACAATTTTATTTTAAAGAACATGTTTTATTTTACCCTTGACATGTTTATGTTTACCCTTTTTTTGCAAGGCAGCTTGCATAACAAATCAAATTGAGCATAACTGAAACGTCTGTAAAACTAGGACTAAGAATTTTCCTCCAGAGTAATTTTAAATAAATTGTCATACGGGGGCAGTGTTCAACTTCTTGATGCAAGGAGCTGTTTTTTTCTACAAGCCAGCCCGTCCTCAAAATGGATCAATTCCCACTATTTTTATTTGAAACGAACAATTTAGAACAGCTAAGAAGTCGTCCCTTTTTTATTCCCCTGCTTGCCGCTTCCAGAATTATTATTATTAGCAGTGGTTTTTTTTTAAAAAAAAAACTTCTTTGCTACCCCACAACCATTAAAGAAATGACCATAAAATCAATAAAAACCAAAGATAAAAATACTTTATCTTTGAAATACTTTATCTTT